TGTTTATTTTTGGCAACTACCGTTGCTCGAAGATCAGGGACACAGCCGCTTTGGCCAAGGTTTCGGAGATCAGGTGGGCCAGTCACGTCATGCGTTTCGAAGATTACCGATGAATCAGAGCGATTACCATTTGGAATCCGCTATATGTCGAACAAATATCTGGATTGCAGCCTACGCGATGATCAGCTTCCTGAAGTTCTAAACGAATGGTATGGGGTTCACCTTGTCCCTTGAGCAGAGGGAACCCATTGAGAACCTCTAGCGCGCTGCACATACGAATGGTGACGTTACTGGTGCTTGCTCAACCAACTAGATGATCAACGGGAACACTGTTGAAACTACCGTAGACTATGCTAATAATTGACGAAAAAGAAAGATGAGCCATGATAGTAGTGAAACGGATATCGGAAATGGATCAGTTGGCTACGTTCTTGTCAGCGAGCAACAGACAACAATTCATGCCTTCTGGAGACGACGATACAGCTACCCTGCGCATTAATTTTTGCAGCAACATCGAAGTTTCCTTAGCTCCCGAAATGAATGGTTTCCCGAGGTTTCTAGTCGTTATATCAATCCGTTATTCAAAGGTTTGAAACGAAGAAGGAATGGGTACTTTACTCGCAGTCTTGACAACAGACAAGACGCTGCTTCGAGTACGACGCTATCATATCCTCCACTAGTGTAGTAGTACCTTTCCTTCGGACGAAGTTTCGCTTTTTTTGAGTTTCCCTTCTCATTGGAAGTCCGACATGTTTGACCTTCATTGCCCCACCCTACTGATTCCAGGGCACATTTCTACCAGGATTTCGCCCCAGGCCAGAACGGGGCGAAACTTTGCTTCCGGAAGTAGGCTTACCACAACCTCGTAAAATTTCCACCCACACGAAGCGAAAATGCCTGGCATCTGCGCCACAGAAAAGGGAGTCCTGCAGGCGGATAAAAATTTTGCATAATGTGGCCCTCCCCTCGAAATTTCCTCCTTTCAGCAGAACCTCTTCCTCATCCGTCGCCAACCTTCCATGGCATTTCCCCAAAATTCTTCAGATTTTCTCCTGAGAACTGCCCGTCGAGCGCAGGGCACGTTGGGGATTTTGCTCGAATTACGACCCCTCCTTTCAGGGAGTTGGTGCGACCCTCTCACCTATAAAGCACATGTGAAACGGGAAAAACCGGTAAAGTCAACAATAGGAACATTTCTCAATAAGGCCAACACGACTCCCCCTCGTCTGTCCAGCGACCACATCCTTCCCCACTGGCGATCGTCAACGTATTACGTGCTGTTGGCCACAGACGACGTCGTCTCCTACTAACTGCGGTTGAGAGGCAGTTGAAAAATGCATCTGTTGGCTTGCTTCAGTTCTTTTCCCACTAGTGTGTGTTCAAGACACATAACTCACGTCGTTGAATGAAACATAGAGTTAAAGCAGTTAACTGTCCTTACGAGTATTGTCGTAAGCCATTCCATCAGGGGCACTTATGTTTTCGATTGTTGAGTTTTCTCGAATTTCCCTGCTTCAATTGTGCTGTACAACGCTACGCTCGACGGCGTTTATTTTTGGAAAAACAGTACAATCAGAAAAAAAAGCTACGGAAAAGTGGTAGGAAGCTGGGAACATTCGGGAGGATGGTAGTTATTTAGGATGCGGCAACGTGGTAAGAAAGAGGTGATTGTGCCGGAGAAAGAAATTGTGAGAGGGGTCGTACTCAGCAAAAAATTTCCCCAACGGCAAGACGTGCCCTGACTCCTTTCCTTTGCTTTCAATGAATTATTGCTGATCACTCACCATACGAGTTTGGTTGTGGAGCTTTACTCGGAATCGCGGTGAAATAAGCTTTTGGCAAGTAGCAACCTGACGTTGCGCGCGGACCTAATAACCTGCGTAGCAGTGCTGCGCACGACGCTTCTCGCGTTTCTCTCTGCATCTGCGTCTCTCCTGTCCACTAGCTGTCTCTTCTTCTCTGTCCTTCCTATTACTCTGTGAGGGCGCATTCCGCGATTACAAAGTAATGCTTCACATCACAAAGTAATGCTTCACATACTAAATCTTTATCTGCCAGAGCGTTAGGTCAAGGTTCACCGTTTTTAGGCTCGAATGACGCGAGCAAATGAGCCTGAATGACCTATTAAGCAGAAATCATCATCAACCTGAGGTGAGCTTACGAATAACGAAAAAGAACTTTTTAAGTTTGAGCTGTCGCTGAGGAGTCGTCCTTCTCTACGTCTAGTTCGCTTTATATAGGTTGTCGTTTTGTCCAATCCGTTTGCCAAGTCGTATGACATTACTGACCCATATGACCTTCAATATCCTGCTGGTGTAAACGCGAAAATGGCCATGAACTTCGGTTGCCGACACAGCTGAAACCACATATGTATATTTTTAACCTGGACAGCAAGAATCAGGAAAAACCACGTGCTGTTCTTTGATGGTAAGCGCAGCAGCTCTGGCGCTGAGGACGAATCTCAGAATTCACTGGTTACCAACTGAGGAGGCATTTAGTCAAGAAGAGTAACTAATAATTGAAGACCTTTCCTTTTCTCGTCTGTTCTGTCCATAACTTATCCTGTCTTGTACAGCTTTATCTTGCTGTGATTATATTCCGGCGCAGTTCGGCTGGGGGGGGGGGCAGGGAGCGGAGGGGAACGCAATTTGCACTTTCGCTACTTCCCCGTCGTGACGACCAATCAAAGACATTGTGAAATACTGTGAAGCCATGAAGTGATACCAGTCAACTTTTATACAGACTACTTGTCAGCTCTTCTAAAGAAAACCTGTCAACTTTTGTAGAGCATGAAACGGCGGTGAAAGGTGTCGAAAGTGCAAAATGCCCCTAACCAACTTTATGAGCCGCAGATTTCGAGTACAGGACAGGCAGGGTTCAAAGCTACGAGCTTAGAGGCTTTTGACACGTAGCTTCTCCTCACATCTGCTGCAAAAAACGGTTTTTTCGGCTCTCTCGGCGTTCATAGTACAATATCCCTTTCACTACAAAAAAGTGATCTTGCCGTCACCTGAGAGCACATCAAGCGTTGACGTATTTAGATGTTGAATGCACGGATTTTCGAGGTTTTTCCTTATGGAACCGGTAGACCAAATGCTTTAGTAGGTGCATATCACTTGTTTGTCACGCTGGACAACGCTGTGCCTCTTCTGATGTGCACACACGTTGATCCAAAATAGCAGCAGATTAGAAAAGGATTTAGGCTCTGTCGGCTTAATGGGGAAGGTGCTCTGCTGGTTGTTATCCGCGAGAGAACTTGCGAATGCTACTGATATGAGCTTGCACATTCTGTGAGGACCTGTAAACCCAAGCCCAAATGTACAGAATACACAAAAAAAGTCATATTCAGTTATCTATTTGACGGGAACCTCAATGGTCGCACCACAACCTTTTTATTTTATGTAGCTATTTATTTTACTCTACAATACCTTACATAGAAAATAGCAGTAAGGCTCATTTCATTTGGTACTTGTACTCAATAGTGTAAATGATACAAAAAAGAGGTAAACGGAACTGAGGAGTTATGAGTGAAACCCGAAACTCAAAGAGGATTACATGTAAACTATTACGAGCTGGACAGACGTAAAACTCCCATCTTTTCAAACGTTGGCAGTGTTTACAGGTCTAATCATATCTTCACTGGTATCCCTAAGGCGAAATTCGAAGAAAGTAGCCAGTTACTGAAAAGTTTCTCACCAGGACAACAGCGCTAAAATTTCAAAGTGGGATTTTGAAGGATTGACAGGTTCAGTTATATGCTAGAGAGGACAGCTTGGTTCTACGGCGATGGCCCGCAGAATTGATACACAGAGAAGGCAATCATATCGGATCAATCGAACCTAGAATAACCTAGAAAAGAAGCGACAGAGGTGCAACCAAGGCACGGTTTCAGTTGAGAACTCTCCAGCAAGGAGACATACTTGAGGAGATATTCGAGGTCGTAGAGGGGATCGTATTTCTGGGAGGGAGAGAGGCACTTGTATCGTGAGCTACCGAAGATGCACCGCTCAAATCACGCACAGCGAGTCGTGCCACAATGTCAGTGCGGTACTACCGTAACCACTCGAGCTGTTGTTGGAGCAAGGGTTTGCTCTTGTTGGACGTCGTGCTCCTTAGTATAGCCTAACATACTACTACCTCAGCCAGACGGCAAGACTTCTACAGTCAGAGCTCAGAGGCGGTAGGTGGACTTGGACTTCAGGTTGTATACCAAAGAAGGCTACTTGAAGCAACCTTAGGACGAGAGTGCTCCTGCTGAACGAGTAGCCTTCCGCATCGCCATGACATGCTCGAGCAGCTACTGTGGCATGTGGAATAAACCGCAACCGAAACTCTCAGCTTCCCCCCCTGCCCCCGATTACTGCCTAGAAGCAGGCCTAATTTGTTCTCAAGACTTCCAAGGATAGCGCTCGTATCTCTGAATTCGACGAGCAGTGGCAGTGACATCTCTCCTCGAGTCGATCAAATTCTTCTCACTTCCTCCCAAAAACTTAATGTAAATTGAATAAACAGTACACTGTCGAGGCGGAAATGAAGATCAAGAGGTTTCACCTAATCTTTTGCTTCAGTCTACTTCTCGACTATTTTTGCTTTTTTTTACTCTATGTGATAATAGATTTTCATGATCTGAACTACACAAGCAGCGGCCAGCGCATTCGAGACTTCAAGGCAATTACTGGCGCGTTTGGCTACATCGCAATCGGATGTAATCACAGCAAAAAAATAAAAATTTATACTCTATAAAATTTTCAACCTCAACATAAATATAGATATATCCCAGGGAAACAGCACATTTATGGCACCCGACTAAGGCACCCGCCTAAACACTACGTGTTACTAAATCAACCAAATGGCGATAAACGCACAAAATGCCATCAGGAAAAAGTCACACTAAAAAGTGAAACAGTTGGGGATGCGAATGGGAAAAGGGATATGAGCGTTTACTAAAACATTCCTATCTATCCGAGACTTCGTGAATCGGGTCAAATTCCTCAGCACGACTAGGTTGATGTTGACTCGACCGTGGACAGAAGTTGATCACACATTTTCTTCGCGTCACCCAACAACATGGCAGTGTTCTCATTGAAGAATACCGGATTGTCGACAGCTGCATAACCGACTCCCAATGTTCGCTTCATTATAACTACCTGAAAACATGGAAATTAATCTAGTGACTTTAAAGGCAGCGCTCTCGTTCATTTGATGTTCCTACGCCCTCCTTAATATCGTAGCTTTGTCGACAAGGGTGGAGGATGTACTAATTTCGCAGCTCAAAAATACGAGAGGATGGCGCCACCCGCTTGTGAAGAGGATGCCGCCCCGCCCACCTGGCTACCATAACTGCTTTGGCTTAGCCTCTGAAGGCTGAGCCCGCTTATACGTGATCCAGTAGTGAAGAGAAAAAAAATCATGGAAAATGCCCCTATATAGAACCCTATGCTGGCCAGGTGGGCGGGGCGGCCGACTCTTCACTAGCGAACGGCGCTATCCTCTCGCCTTTTTGAGATGCAAAACTAGTACATACTGCATCCTAAGGGAGGGCTATGAGCCCAGGAAGGGCCCGGGAACATCAAATGAGCGCGGGCGCTGCCTTGCGTTGCAAATCTTCTTTGTACGAGGTTCTCAGGTGGAACATTTATTTAGTAAGGGAGCCACACGAGAGCGTTAGCTAGTTGTCACTTCAAACGTGAAACTGCTGCGAAACTAGCAATTTTGTCCCTCAAAAGCTCCTAGTGAGCTGAAAAATTTGGCGTAATCTACCCGGAATCTGCTTATCATACTTTGCTGCGACTTCTATAGCGCCTACCACCGCCCACTAGGCTTCCGGGCTCCGCCACGTCAGCGACTAGCAAAGTATGGATATCAAACTAGCGTCTGCCAGCGCCTACAGGGTGTACCAGCATTCATCCAGCAACTGCTGATAGATAGTAAGGAGAAGTAGAGCGTACCAAACAGCTAGATTAGGCGTCGTGAAACTGTGCCGAGTGCAACGCACCGCACAACTGCTAAAGCTCAGAATATGCAATTTAATGTACGGTAAAGTGTAGTTGTACTGTGCGGTTACAGATGCCGCAATTTCACGACACCTAATTCAGCTGTCCCGCTCCCCTCCTACTTCCTCATACTCTCTGCCAGTCGCTGGCGAACGATGGTGGACGCTGGCAGACGCTAGACCAATACCTACAATTCCCTAGTCCTCGAGGCGCTGGTAGACAGTGACGTAGGCTGGCAGACGCTGGCAGACGCTGGGTCGCAGATACTTTCTTCATATGGATGTCTTTGCGAGATTGATCTCCCTTCATTAATAAATCTATCCCGCGGGAAAAAGTCAATCATAATCTCGCCTGAACCATAAGGAGGGGAACGTTGGATTTTGAATAGAGCCGAAACTTTGTCAGCCCCTATTTGCCGCAAATCTATTCTAACAAATGCCTATCAACGTTCACTTAGTCTGATATTACTACTCAGTTCTGCAGTGAAAATTTGTGAGGCTCTTTGGAAAATTGCCAGGAACTTATGACATATTCATATATACCCTACCAATGGATGCCTCTGCTTCATGTCATGGGTGACCGAGCGCTGCTTGTAGCCATAGGGCAAACAATGGGTGACGATAGTTACTTGCCGTGTATGGTAAGGAAACTGTAAGATTTGCTGAAACATCGGGAGATGCGAAGTACACTCATCCTATTCTGCAGTACTCTTACAACTTCCCTACCGTATCCCACTCAACTAAAGTACGCATTCTACAGCGCAGATTCTTATTGCGCGGAAGACACTTCTTCATGATTACTTCGCTAATACTACTGTAAACAACTAGAGTCTTAAAAAGAAAGCGACTACGTCAATGCTTCTTTTGCCAGACATGTTGTTGTCTGTCTGGCTAAACACCACAGACCGCACACACGGCTACGCATAGCGTGAAAACCATATGGTCCCACGAATAATTGGATTACTCGTCCTTTTTCAATGAGACATTTAATAACATGGTCTGGTTATTCTAGGATTACTAAGCGAGGCAGCTAGTAGGGTACTATAACAGAATAAAAAATATTTACCTTCTTTGAACGCCAGACCCGCAACACGGGCATTCCTGCTATCGAACTGTTTGGATCGTCTTCAGCAGCCGAGTTCACGGTATCATTTGCACCTGAACTGGCAAATTACTGTTTGAAAATAAGAGATTTTGCACCTTTTTATGCACATACGTATGCTCTATATCCCAGAGACGGAAGAGGCGTGGCTGAGCGCTTCATTTGAACCGTGGCGTTGGACGTGCTTTTGGTACCATACGGACGTTTTTGGACAATAGTAATGATGTTTTCGTCCAGCACAAGAAAGGCTCTCACTTATCTCAACGGGGAAACGTCCCATGAAAAACGTTCGGATGAAGAACAGACACGCCCTCTCCTCCTCCGCGACATGGGGCGAAGGTATACAGTCGTTAATGGCTATGCCGTCGGCTAGCGGCTTATACGCTTAGCGCTGCAACCGTGTTGAATACAAAAAAGGCGTGTATGGGGCCAAGGGGGGTGGCACATTTTCTACCACTAGGCAGACTGCTTTATCACTTCTTTTTCAACGTTCTGACAGTAGGAAAAACTACTCATCCCCTTAATTCACACTGCTGCCTTTCAACCCATCACAACACGGAAAAAACCTCTGTCTGACTCTACTCAGGTGGGGTCGAATCGTTGTTGGCAGCTGAGGCTGCTCACGGCTACCTTTCTGCGATAATCACCAAGGACAGTTCTGCTGCAGAACTGGAACTTCAATACTGTCTTGTTCGCTCTGGATGCTGGGGCGTTTCAGAGAGCTGGGCTTGGCGCGGCGCCATCCTAATTTCCGACCAATAGCAGTCGCTCGACCCTACAATGATGGAGAACAGGAGCGCGCTGTGCCAACTCAAGCCCCCCCCCTCTGACACGCCTCAGCATACTACATGAATAAGAAAAATGTTTATAGGACAAAAATCCAAAAATGTTGCGAAGGAGTGCCTCACCAATAACTAAAGCCACGTCAGTATGGTCAAAATCGGCATTGATGTCATCCATTTCCTCAACAATATCGTAAGGAACTCCGGCTTCCGCAAGAAGTACATTCAACTGTCCAGGCATTCGACCTGAAGGAAAAACGATACTATTGGTAAATAGAGGTGCTTCAAACAGAAATGAAATAGTCACGTAACGGTAGAAAAACCGAACCGGCAACGGGATGGACGGCAAATCGCACTCGGACTCCACGATCGTTCAAGGGTCTTAGCGAGCTGAGCAATCGGATACTGAGCTTGAGCGGCACACAATCCATAACCAGGTACGATAATCACAGACTGGGCATTTAGGAGCCAGTCGACAGTCTACAACATAAGATTTAAATTTTTAGTAAGTACAGCATCGGGACAAACTTTGCATATAGCTAAAGTCATGCTCATTCAAATGATCAGCTCATAGTCACTAAGCAAAGGCAAGGAAAGCTTATCATTGGGTCAAGATGATCGGAAAGTCATGCCGGGCGGTGTTCAGCTTGTTCGGCGAGGGGGGGGGGACATTGCCACTTTCGTTACGTCCTTTTACTAATTTCTGCTGAATTACACGTCCCATACTAAAGGGGCTTCCAACTACTAGGTTGTTCGGAAAGGAATGCGCGTTTGAGTGTAAAAAAATTTTTATTATAAAAACGAAATTAAACAAGGTCAATCTAAAAGATAATCTCCATTACTAGCAATGACTTGTTGCCAACTGTACGCAAAAACTTCGCCAAAAGAGCCTCTTTCACTACTTTTCCCCTCGGGTGTGTCGTTAGGTCCGCCGGAGAGGAAATGTAGGTCAAAAGAGCCTCTTTTTGCCAGTTTTCTCGCCGAGTGTGTCGCTAGGTCCGCCCGCTGCCCCTGTGAGCCGAGTGGGTCATTAGGTCCACCCAAGTGCGTCGTTAGGACTTGCTTGAAGTCTTACCACATACAAGCTCGCATTCGAAATTTTTGGTCGAGCATTTTCTAAACTTTTTTTCTCTAAAAAAACAAGGTAGACATAGAAAAAATATATCAAAAGATGCGCAATAAAAACCTCTCTCTAATGGACAAAACTGTTTTGAAAAATCTCCTATAGTAGAAGAGAAATAAATAGACAAAGTCAACGCGCATTCCTTTCCGAACAACCTAATACTTGTGAGTGAAGTTGCTGCTACTGCGTAGTTTCACAGAAGTTTACAGGATGCATCGAGAGTGATAAGTGAGAACCATTGATGTGCCCAACCGAACTGCGTCTTCTACCACTTTTTTTGAACAAACGTGACGAGTGCTTTGAATTGTTATAGCTGTAAAGTGAATGTTGCAGTAGTAAGGAGTTTACCTGGAGTTATGAATTCAAACGATGAGATGGAGGGATACCCCCGCAAGACCCATCATCGTTGAGGATTCCTCAACAGATGGGTGGTAAATATGCGCTGGAGGGGCAGGTCGTGTTTGGTCTGAGGAATCTTTTTGATAGTTCATTTTACTTGTTTCACGGACGCTAGAAGGGGAGGGGTATATTTCCATTGCGGTTTTACCGTTTCACACGTGCTCGACAGCAAACTGAGGGTGTCGTGCCAGTCACGTTTTTGAGGGGGGGGGGAGGTGGGGTCGTACGCATGGGCTCTACCCAAGTCCGCAATTAATGATGTGATGTTGTGACCTGTGCCTACTTGAAGTTTCGTTCAATGTGTCACAGAACATTCCATTCAGTCTAGTACTAGTAATTATAAGTTAGGGTAAATGTTGAATCACCTCAGCAACATTAGTTTCTGTAGCTGTGCCTTCGATAGCTTTTGCTTTACCAGTTCCTTGGGATTTCGTTCCGACACCTCCGAGAATGACGCTAATTAGTGAGCGATTCATAGCCTGGAACATAAAACTTTGACTGAAAGTGCTGAAGCGCTGAAGTAGTAAAGTAGGGGTAAACCACTGAAGAACAACATCATGTTCATAACTTCAAAACTGCCGGATCATTACCACTCACTTTGCACATAATATAGGAAAGAATAGCTCCGGAGCTTCCTATTAAAGCACCAACAATTGTGAGCAAATCATTGTCGAGCATAAAACCTTCAGCACATAGAGCCCATCCAGAATAACTGTTCAGCACAGTGATCACAACAGGCATGTCAGCACCTGAATGGATCAACTCGATAAAGCAGCCGATCAGCTGATCAATTTCTCTTGAACTTTTCAGCGCAATCAACATAGCAGCAAGTAAAAAATTTCACATTTCAGACCATGTTTACCAGCGAGAAATGAGGGTTCACTGCAGAATATAATCTGATACAGATACCACGAAGCGAAACCGGATTTAAAGGCACGTTTCACGATAATAGATGTAAGCAGTGGGGCCCAAATATAGATGCTAGTCGGTCCGACAGGTGCTAGCTGGCACGACAGTAATGAAAAAAAAGCAAAGAGCACTGTTGACAATTTCTCAAGTGGGTCCCGCTTTTGGCAGTCGATTTTGAGTAATGCGCTAGTATAATGCGAAGAAACACTGAGTGCACATAGGAGAGGCCAGAATGGAGGAGCAAGATGGAATGGAAGAGCCAGCAAGATGGAATGGAAGAGGCCAGAATGGAAGAGCTGAAGAGCTGAACAGAAATGTTCCTACCTCCGATGGCCATCGTCAGTGTTACTCCCATTAAACTGCTGAGGCCAGCTGTTGTTCCAAGCATTCCAAGACCAGTGGCGAAGTCGTCGTTCACCATGTACACACCCAGTGCACCAATATTTCCAGCCAATAATGCAGAATTAATTAGGTGACGTCCAGGAAGATAGGTGGCTGCTGAGCCAAGAATACCTAGAAAATTCAAAATTTCAATCAGAAGTCTGTAGTCCAGTAATTAGCCTCTTCCAAACTAGCACTTACCTTGAAGTTTTCCGTATGCCATCAAACTGCCGGTGAACGTCACACCACCAATGTATGCACCAAGAAACAGCGATACCTTTGTAGCAGCATGAGCTTAACAGTTTATGGAAATATCAAAATTTTTCGAAGTAGAAAAAAGCAAAATAACAGTAAATAATTCCATGCGCATTTGGATCCTTACAAAAATCGTTACATGGGACCTACCGCTCGGATCAGCAAGGAAATGAGGATGCTCCACGATGAAATCTGCCAAGCATGTCATAGTTGCGGCCAAGCCTACAAATGAGTGAAATGCTGCCACTAATTGAGGCAGATCTGAGACCTGAAAAAAGTGAATAAATGATGAAGTAAAAATCTAACAGGTAGAACAAATATTAAAATTGACCGCAAAACGTGCACACCCCGGATATATGCTTTAAAATGAAACGGTACCCTAGCAGTACACGTGGATGCTTAGCACTCTTACGCATTCAGTCTTATTTATAAATCAGAACTGGGGCCCACAGTGAACTCCACTTCGCTTTTAATCAAATTTTTAGTTAGTTTTCGAATTCACCTTGATTCTTTGAGCGATTCCTAGTCCGATGAGCGAGCCTAATCCGATTGCACTTCCCATTTGAATGAGTGTGTCGTGATCAGGATTCAGAATTCCTAAGGTGGCTGCTAAGCCACCAGCTACACCAGTCATTCCTAGAAAAGTGTGTTCATACAAGTCCTACCTATGAACTTAAAGAAACACTATGACTTAAAGACACAGAGTGGAAGGATAATGGGGCGGGGAACACAGCCACCACTGCTCCTTCTTCACTGATGTGCCCCTCCTTTTAAAAACGCTATGTACGATAATCTGCAAGCTGTATCCTTTTGGTGTACGAGGAGTAAACGTTCGTAGGTGTAGATATACGCCGTTCTCGCGACTAGGCAACGCACGGAAGTGAAGGGTAATGACTGAGGTAGCTAAATCTTCTTCATACCCACTCCCCTACCACCCCCCCCCTCCTCGCTCGCGCCTCCCGTTCACCACTCAACAGAGGACGCGCAGATGACAGACACGCAACACGCTTCACGGCCAGCCATTCGCCTGACCATAACCACACGCTCTACTTTTCTACGCCCTTTCCCAAACGGCAACGGCAGAGTAACAGTGATCTCTACAACTTAAATTAGGGTCCAAAACTCTCGCCGTGAGACCTTGCTCACCCAGTTCCCGTGGCACATGTTGGCAACATTCCCGCAACATGTGGCGGCGTATAGCATATCTTATAGCGGGCGGGGCATAGAAGGACTGAATTCTTACAACGTTCCAGCTTTATTTGCTCAAGCTCATTTAAGTGCCGAATGTGCTACATTTCCACGCTGGAACTGCTCTCCTCGCAGGCAATCGTGCAGTACGCCTTTAGTTGAGTAGCGGGCAAGCTCCGCAACTGGTTACTCTATAGGCCCATATAATTCGATCAATTATACCTAAAAGTGAACATACCTAACGCGTTGCCAACACGTGATGTTTTTTGACTTGAAAGTCCTGCTAATGCACCAACACAGCAAGCGATGAACCAAGGTATGCGAGAGAATGAGCGCATGGTGCACCCTGAAGATAACAATTGTCAAAACTGGATGGAATATATTACATTACTGTCAGGCTAGGAACAAGTTGACCCCGATATCAACGCCAATTTGTAGTTCAGATCCCCAAAGATTAGGGCGGTGAAGGGGGCTGAGTTGGACGTGAGCAAAACAGTCATTTCAAGGCCGATGTGTGAACTCAGCACGGTATCATTGATGGAAAGGGCGCTTTGGCAGCGCTCCAATTCATGTCCCGTCACACGCCCTATCGGTTGCAGGCACTAGAACTGTACGGAAGGATGATTCAGTAACAAAACTTTCACCGCACTCTCTTCACGTGACTCATACTTCTTCCATCGTCATAGACTGTTATTCAAGTTACTAGCAATATGGGCTTCGTGTGCTAACCGTAGTAAATAGCCTCTCCAATGAAATAATGCAGCTGGTACAGCGTACATGTAGTTGTACTCTGGTGGATCTCCTGTAGAAACTGCTATAATTAATAGTTTGTCTTCATGCTTACAGGCCTAAAGTTGGGCGTGGCATGGCAGCTATCTGCCAGCGCAGTCGCGTCAAACGGAAAATATCGATAATAATGCGGTTCGTGAAACAATATTCTGATATATGCAGTAACCTGAGCTAATAGAAAGGCAATATTTCTAGAATCAAAAAAAAGAATCACACAAGGACAACCTGCTCGTTTGAACATATCCAGCATGCGCTTTGTGATCAGAATCTCACAGATATTGATCGAAGAGATGAAAGCAGCTCCTAGTGGCAAAGAGCCTGTGCGAGTTGTTGCCAGAAGACCACTGCAAACCGAAAGGTGAACAGAGTAGGCAAGAACCGTCACACTTCTTGGAGATAACAGTTTTCATAAAAACATTTTGCATAAAAAATTCCTTACCTCTCCCATAAGGCAAAGAGCTCCCGCAGCGGTTGTTCCCGAGATCGCATTTGTTACTGACATCAGAGGAGAATGCAGTGCTGGTGTAACTTCCCATACAGTATGATATCCTGCAAAATCTCTAATTGTACATCTAAAAACTGAAATACAAGGTAAATCGGCGTTGCTTAAACATAAACGTGAGGGCGAAGTTGCTGTAGGGCAAGACAGCGCTTACTGCACGCACAATGGGGGGGGATGACATTTTTGATCGACTCTTGCCTGGATGATTCAAGGCTTCCTTTCCTTCGGGCTACTCACTTTGCAAAGAGATGCGTCAGGGAAAAAAAAACGATTTTTTTCCTTAATACTGGTTGAACCCCTGAAGTCATTGTATATAGCTTTTATTTCGCGCAGATGGTTGGGCGTGTCAACTGAGGTGGATTGTGGGCGTGCCGTGTCAGCGTTCTACAGCAGCTGTTAAAAGCGGTAGAGCGACAAGAGCTGTCCCGTGAATAACGATGCTCGAACGATAACCAATAAAAAATAAAAAAAAAAAAAAAATAACGATGCTTCAAACGATAACCAAAATGCCGGTACGATCCCAAATGAGCTCAACTTGGCTGCGCCTTTAAAAGACATGTAAAATTGTAACCAGGTCGAAAAGGATTTGGCCCATCCTCTTCACATCTGGGGAGCCTAAATGTACTGGACCAAAAGTACCTGAGAGGTGAAGTAAAAGAATGACAAGATAACGACTAGTGCTTCGTTAATGCTTTCAAGCAGGCCATAATCTGCCCTCTAAGTTGGCAGGCCTTTCAAAGAAAGCTGGCTGATAGCCTGTCTGTGGGAACAGGCTGTCTTAAGCCCTTCTAGCGCCTAAGAAACGTCTAGCACAGAACGGTCAAATGCATTGTCCAGCCGGAGGGGTTCGATCGTATCGATGGTACGCAGGAATAGGAATACCAACGAAAAAATGTGACTTAAAATACTATTGTAGAAAAAAAATCGTGAGAATGGATTCATTTTTTTCCACAAATATTTTTTATTAGAACGAAGAGAGGATCCGAAAGAAATGCAACAATTGCCTACCAACTATTCCAGCCAGTGCAAACGTCGTAGTCATTGCAGCGAAATCGAGATTGGGAGAGACAACTCCCAGAACAGGAAGACTTCCCAAACCTGTGGTTAGGAACGTTCATAAAGTATTCTAATTTCCAGGTTATTATGAAACCAGCACTATTAGAATAGCAGGAAAATGTGCTGAACGCTAATTAACTCGTAGAAAGTTATTATCGGTACGGTATAACTTACCTGCTGTTATCATACCAGCACTGCGAGCTGTTTTGGCAAATGGTGTAGGTTCAACTGGTACGACGGCCGTTTCAGTCACCTCCTGCAGTTACTAGTCAAGTTATATATTGATAACATATACGAAAAAGTGATATAAGTAAAACCCATGGTACATAAAAGCCATAAAAATGGGTAATGTGTGGGCACAGTCGCCGACACGCCCCGGCATAAGCAGCGAACAAAACTGTATCTAATCGCCGGAGAATGGGGTCCTATCGAGCCGTGCGGGGAACGTTACTCGAGTACAGATTTGATCGCTAATGTTTCCGATTAGTGATTCGAACACTCATTTTTCTCGTTTTACGTGCGCCTTCTACCTCTCATTCCCCTCCCCCCCACGGCAGAAATCTGGGAAAATTTTGTGACGTATGTTGTAAGAAAGGATCGTGTGGAAGAAGGGAGTTCAGGGCCCGTACCCCCTTCATTTACCCATCCAGTCCCCCCCTTCCTTCCCCGAACTACGAGGTAGCTCCTCAGACAAAGAATTTCAAAACTCACCTTTGGTTTCACCGGGGAAGGATTGACTGTTACTGGTGGAGGCCACATCATCTGGCCACGGTGCAGGACAGTTGCGCCGCGCACCACCTGAAAAATTCAGAGGTAGGTTTTGGGAATTTTTGAATTTCACGAAATCTCCTAATTGTAGGGTCACTGAAAGGATGGATTGGTCACCTCGTCGGACAAATTCATTTTGAAAGGCGTCTTTGTCGCTCATGTATAAGAGAAGTTTCGATATATTATTGGCATACAGAGTACTAGCTTGAGTAGGAAGCCTAAAAAAATATTTCCAGTGTTCGAAAAATTGATTGAAAAAAAACAGTCAAAGGAGATGAAACCGTAGGAGGAACACCGCATATGAAACTCATTCGACGCCCATAAAATACCGGTCAGAAATGAGGATTGACTAGAACCTTCTAGTCAATCGACAGGCAGTGGCAGTGGGGTGGCTCACGGGGGGCCCTTCGAATTGGACTCCCAATTCCGCCGGGGTAACACCAGAGCTGGCTAGTTGGTACTAGAGTCGGCTAAAGGGCAGGAAAACAAAACCAAGTCATCACAGGATTGCTGAGTTATGGGCAAAAGCCTTAACCCCACGCGGGACTCGAACCCGCGCCTCACGCTTTCCAGGGAGTGAGTGGCTTTTCATGACACAGAAACTAAGTGTCATTGCCGTGCAAGTTAGACTGATATCCATTCGAATCCCTTTGGTGAAAAAAGGCTCAGAGGCAAGGTAAATTACTAAGAGGAGTAGGATTAACACGCATGGCAGGACGGGATTCCGCGCCCGGAGCAGGCGCTGCGCACCGCCTTTCCCAAGAAAGGTAGGACCTATCAAGTCACAGCATAACGACCCCGCCACCCACCGTGCCCGCCCGCCCACAACTGGACGACAGTACCTGATGCT